TTTATATATTTATATAAATACCAATACAAGTGTGTTAATATAAGAGTTGCAACTCGTAAAATTGATCCTATGCCAACAAAAATAAAGACTTTTAATAATTGAACGTGAAAATGGTATTAAAATATTTAAAATATTAAGTAGTATAAAATCATTTTCTCTTTCTGATTTTTTTAAAAATATCTTCATTCTAATTATTTAGAAAAGCATAGGTTCTGAATAAATTTATATAAACTTCAACCAAATATATTACCAACATGTCACCTTTTTCCATTGTTCGTTTTTATTTTATTTTTATTAATATAAAATTGTTTTACAATATTCAAATCGTTTTAGTATAATATAATAAAATTAGTCTTTTCCAAATTGCATACTATTAGGAGGCTGATCGACACGATAAAGTGTAGCTGCCACATTGAAGTAACCCTCGTACTCAATAGTATCCGGCGTTGTATCGATGTGATAATGTCCACCTACATTATTCTCTTCATAAGCACTATGGAAATGTTGAACTCTGAGATCTAAATCCTGTAAGTAACAATTTAATTCATGATAAATAATCAACATGGACTTAGAGTGTTATTTCTGATTGCTGTGTTTGTAATCTAATATCTTTCCCTTTTTCAAAATTTACGCGGATTGAATCTCTTTAAAACTTACTGTTTCAGCACTGACAAATGTACCGACAGCTATTAAAGGAGTTTCCATATCGTAGAAACGTAGCCAATTATTCAGTTGGGCCTCGCTGGTCAACGGCGTATCCGAAAAATCTGGCATAATATGCTGTTTCACTTTTCCATTTTTCACTTCGAACATGCCACCCAAACCTAAGTTAATAAATATAATCATTTTAAGTTTTCATATTTAATTATTTAATTTTATTTCTGCAGCAACAGGAGTAGACCCACCTACTAGTTTTTTGTCTCCGTAACGTTTTTCCAACTCTTTCTGCATGCATGATATGAAGTCTAGCTCGCCGGTACGTTTCTTGGCACGCACTTTTATAACTTTCCCTGGTTTGCCTTCGCATATGTACAGATTGGCCAATAACGCAAAAGTTGTCTCATCCTCGTTGGGAACTATTCGCTCAAGTATGCACCCTCCAGTGGACTTGTTTACAAATGCATAATGCGTCCCATTCGCCACTCCCATACCAAGTCTATAAGATGGTGAGACCACATCGTTCACCACATTTAACTTCATAATAAGCTGAAATATGTAATTTTACAAACGTTCATCAATTGTCTTCCTTCCGAATTAGAGAATACTGTTAATTTGATTGACATGACTTATTTGTAATACACACCTCACAATTGGAGCCTGTATGCGGCCATGGTCCAGCTCCTGCGCCGATAACGAGAGAGTTATAATTGTAATTTAATTGCCGCAGTAACGACTTAACATCATAGAACTTGTCCCTCTGAACAGTTGGTAGCAGATACGGTGGGCCACCAACATCCAAAATAATTGGATTACCACACAAGCCTGAAAGCAGCATCATTCAATCCAAAACCAAGAAGAATCAGGTATGACTTCTGTCTTTTCTCGTACCTTCTCGATAAAAATTATAGGGCCATGTGTCAAAGCTGGGGCAATCGGCCAACTCGACGGTAGCCTCCGCAAAGTTTGCGTTCAATCCTTCTGTTAGAACTATGATTGCACAATACAATAGAGAGATATTATATTATCATATTATTATAGTATTATATAGTATTATATTATATACAATTTTCCATTATAAATCTAGGATGCTTTACAATTACCATTCATTAACTCATCGAGAGGCGGTTGGTGCAACGTCCTTGACTTGATGTTAATCTTGGATGCATCCAGAAGTTCTATGTTTCGACTCATCTTGAAAATCAGTGTGTTAGCAAACAGCGAAAAGATCGACTTGGAATGCTACTGCTCAGAACTGTGTATCAAGCTATACGCACAGTTATGAGTATTGATAATCTAATCTTGTTTATCTAATCTTGTTTTTTTTCGTATCAACCTGGAGAGATTCCTTCTATGAAAAGAAAAACAGAATTGCTTAGACTGACATAATAAGTATGCTTGTGCTGAGATAGCGTTCTTAATAAATAACTGATGTTTTCGCGTTAATAAAATCATGTATCATCAATCCGAACATAACACAAATAATTTCACTTGTAATAAAAAAATACATAAAATTATTATTTTATGATACAGACACCGCGATAACGAGAGGTTCAGAACGGAGCATGGAATCATATGCTACTTTATATTTATTGCACCATATTACGTTATCGAAATCAAGTAAAAAAACTAATCTTGAACGATTTCTCATTGCGTCATGTATCGATGTATAATGTGTCATGTGTAATATGCCACGTGTATTGTAAATATATACAGTCAACAGCTGTTGCGCGATTGACAGGGCATGCCCGGTCGGTATAATAGAATTTCTTGCTCTCGTAAAATATATTATTCAGCAACGCTGTATATAATTCAAAGTCAATAAGTCAAAGGAATTTTTTTATTCAAGTAAACAATAAAAAAAAGTTTTTCTTGAAAGAAAAAGTATTGTAATTTTAATTTTCAATATTTATTTTTACGCTTTAATTGAAATACATGATTCAGAAAATATTGAGTGACATCTAGTTCACAGTTTATCTTTCTTTCTTTACACTGGAAGAAGAAAGATAAACTCTGAACTAGTGCAGCCAGTTCAGTCAAAAAGAACAGACTGAGATGTCACTCAATATTCTCTGAATCACGTCAAGATATTCTCTGAATCACGTATTTCAATTAAAGCGTAAAAATAAATATTGAAAATTAAAATTACAATACTTTTTCTTTTAAGAAAAACTTTTTTTTGTTGTTTACTTGAATAAAAAAATTCCTTTGACTTATCAACAAAAAGAAATATTAAAAGAATCGATTAAAAGAATGTTTTATTATTAAAATTTTAGGAATTTTCCAAGAATTCTTAGAATCATGATACTGTGAAGTTCGCAACTCGAATTCTTTCCATTTCAATTTTATCGCATGTCGCATTAGTAATTCGCGAGACATTCCGGCATAGCTTCGTGCGATCGTAGATATCTCTATAGGTATCATTTTTCTTGATAAATTTTTGTGATTATATCTTTAAGTAAAATTTTAATCTAAACTCTGATCTAACGTAATCTAAAATCAATCAATCAATCAATTTGCACTTCCATTATATACGACTTAAAAATATTTCTCCAATTGAAAAATTCTTCAATTGTTCAGAATTAAAAAATCTCAGAGCCGTCATGTTCTCGCTTCAGAATATGATTCAATTTCAGATTCATTCATTCATCTGCGAGAATTAAAATCATACTAGCTCTTTCGTGTTTTTTGGGGAAGTTTTTTTGGGAAACTTCAAAAGCACGTGAATCACGAAATTATAAAAATCATAGAGGCCTGCGCACAATGGAACGAATATCAAGAAGAGGAATAAATATTAAAAATGTTGAAAATAAAAATTCAGAATAAAAATTAAACGTAACGCACGATGAATACAAATAAACATAAAATATAGTCATATCTTACACTTACCTATATATTCATTGTGCAATTAAGTTTAATTTTTATTTCTAAAATTTAATATCTATTGCCATTCCTAATATTTCCCTCGGCTGTGCGCGGAAAAAATTCGATATTCGCATTCATAATCGATCTGGAATAAAATTCGCGAGCGCGTGCGGCGCGTCGTCGTCGGTGCGCTCTCGGGGGTTGCGGACGGACGCGCGCGCCGGAGGGAGGCTGGCAACGGGGAGTCCCCGAAGGGGAGAGACTGACCTGCCGCCGCGTGTCGGCGTCGCGGCGTCAGTATGCGGTCGCGCATTCCACGCGGGAACACCTGTTTGCTCCGGCGGCGGCGGCTGCATCGGCTCGCGTGCTACACGGTCGCTCTCAGTTCGCGGGGAAAAGAAGGAAGCGATAGAGGGAGGGCGAAAAAGGGAGAGAAAGAGAGAGAAAGAGAGAGAGAGAGATACACAGAGAGGAGTCTAATATCTTCGAGCTCAGAG